TTTCTGATGTTCTCCCTTCTCTCCCCTCTGACCCTCTGACAGACCCCAGTGTGTGTTGTCCCCCTCATCATGTGTCCATGTGTTCTCATCATTCCTCTCCCATTTATAAAGAAGAACATGCAACATTTGGTTTCTGTTTCTGCATTAGTTTGTTGAGGACAATGGCTTCCAGCTCCGTCCATGCCCTTGTAAAGGACATGATCTTGTTTTCAGGGTTTTTGGCATTGATTCTTTCTCATCTGTGTGGATTTATCCACCTGTCATCTTAGAGGTTTCTTCTCTTTGAATGGAGTTTTTGTGATGGGTTGTTGTTGTTTTCTGTTTGTTTGTTTCTCTTTTAGCAGTCTGGCCATTCTTCTGTAGGGCTACACATTTTACTAGGCTCCAGTCTAGACTCTAGTTGCCTCATTTTTTCTATACCTAGAGATCTCACCAGTGATGTCTGTGACACAGCAAAAATGACAGCCTGCTCCTTCATCTGGAGACTCCATCCCAGGTGGCTAGTGACCTATTGCCAACCCCTACATGGCTATCGTGCATGGTTGGAGTCCCTAGTTCTGAAGTCTCACACAATCAGGAAGAATGGGATCAGGGTCTCACTTAAAGAAGCAGTCTGCTGCTTTTAGGTAGAGCAGCCGTGCTGTGTAGGGAATCCCTTGAGCCCCTGATCAATTTGGGCTTTCCAAGGTCCACAGCCTGGACCAGCTGAGAAGCCCGAATGGCCAAGGTGGTGGTCTGCCCTACCCCTCAGTCACTCTGTGCCAGGAAGAACACAGGCAGGAAAGGCCAGATGCACTGGCTGAGAAGACCCAACCTGTGAGGAGGAGCCAATTGGTGTCACATTTTAAAGAAGCAATTCGGCCACTCCTTGACAAACCACCTGTGTCATGGTGGAGAATCACCTCTTCCCTTTACAGCTTCAACTCTCCAAAGCCCATAGGCTGGAATGGCTGAGTTGTCTGACCAACCTGGGTGGTAGCCCTCCCCTTCCTTTGAACTCCATTCGAGAGAGAGATCAGACCTCTATCACTAATACGTGCTGGTGGGCATGGCTGGAGGGTCTGGCCAGGAGATCCACTCCAGTGAGGAGAACTGGATCAGGTCCCACTTGAAGCAGTCTGGCCACTATCTGGCAAAACAGCTGTGTTGCACTGCACAGGGGACCCTCCTTCGTCCAGATGTTTGGACTCTCCAAAGACCAGAGACTGGAATGGCTGAGTTGACCAAATAGCAGAGATTGTTATATTGGGGTTCAAGGGTTCAGGGGTGCCCTCAGTTCCCCTGAGAAGATGTTTCTCCAGGTTCGTGGCCTATCACCGTGTCAAGAACGAGAGGGGAGACCACGGCACAGTGCAATCACAAAAGTAAATGCCAGGCTCAAAAGTGATTTATTTAAAGCACAGAGAGACACAGGAGAAGGAGAGAGAAACAGCTAACTCTCACACTGAGTGAGAGAAAGAAAAGCCGCTCTCATACTGAGTAAGAAGGGTTCCCAGAGGGGGAAAACCAGAGAAGGAAAGCTCCCCTCACACTGAGTGAGAGAATCCAGAAAGATGGAATCCAGGAGAGGAAAGCAGCTTCCACACTGAGTGGAAGAGAATTGAGAGAGAGTGAGAGAGGGAGAAACAGAAGAAGAAAGCTTCCATGGGAGAGAGTGTGGAAGCAGGACCCCGGAGGGGAAATCCAGTATGGGAAAGAGAGCTCCCACTACGTGGGAGGGGATTCCAGAGAGCTGGAAATCCAGGCGAGAGAAAGACGGCTTCCGTGAAGGGAATGTTCGTGGAAGGGGACCCAAACATGGAGTTCGAAGGGGTGTGGAAGAAGGGGACTTTTCACCTGGGAGGAACCCCCACTTTCTCTAAGACACCTGGCCAATGAAAGGAGTTCCTTAGAACTTGCGCTGGAGTGACCGACTTTTAGTTTCTTCTTGTGCCTGCAAAATTTAAACATAAACCATTAAATCTCCCAGATGGAGAGAGATGAGAGTGGGGCATGGCGCTAGGAAGTTCTTGCCTTTAAATCTACGCCCGCTTGTGGACTCCAAAAGAGAACACATTCCCTGATTCTTCATCCAAATGTTTGTACTCTCCAAAGCCCTGAAACTGGAATGGCTGAGTTGACCAAACAGAAGAGATGACACCTACCCCACCCCCCATTACTTTGTTGGGTCTCAGACAGGCTCCACTCTGTTGCCTGTGGCTGGTGGGAGTTCCAAGCCAGGGTATTTGTCCTGTGAGGTCTCCTGAAGGTGGGGCCCATAGAATGATGCTGCTCAGCTCCCTGGATTCTGCCCTATTCCTAAGGATATGTGCGGACCTCCTGCCTTGCTTGAATTGCAGACACCTTTGTGGGGGATCACAAGGAAGGAATGTATAAAGCTCTTGGGTGTCTGTGCTTGCCCGAGCAGCTGTTCTGTCAAGACTTTACACTGTTTTGTGTGTCAGACCTATGGCTTCCATAGTGTGGGTTCACAAGGGGACCTCCTGATCTGCGGGTTCCAAAGATCCCTGAGAGAAGTGTGCCTTCCAGGGGTTGCAGTGGCTTATGCTTTCCTTGGCTGGGAGTGGGGGTTCCTTTGGCTCTGTGTCACTCCTTGGTGGGCTGTACTTTTTCCATCCTACTTTTCTTTGTTCTCCTTGTGTTTGGTTTGTCTCTAATCAGTCCCAGTCAGGGAACCTGAATATTTCAGTTGAAGGTGCTGTATTCACTTGCCCTTTTCACTCCTCTCTGTGAGTGCCACAGACTGCAGCTGCTTCTAGTCAGCCATCTTGGCTCTTCCTCCATTTTTTTTCTTTTTGTTGAATTTTAACGTTACTGCTGAATTTTTCAAAAGATTTTAACGTAAGTCTTACGGATTTTCTCTTAGTTTGTTGCTTGTCTTCTTATTTCCTTAACAGTGGTGATCACTAATCATGGCCTTTCTTTCATTCTTGATATCAGTAATTTGTGACTTACCTTTTTTCTCAGCCTAACTAGAGATGTATAAATTTCATTGATGTTTTCAAAGAAATAATTTCTTGTTTTATTGATTTTTCCTATTGATTTCTTATTTTCAGTTCCATTGATTCCTGCTCTAATTTTTATTTTTTTTTTTTACTACTTATTTGGATTTTGTTATTTTCCTTCTATCACCCTAAGCTAGAAGCTTAGAATATTAATTGCTCTATTTTCTACAATCACAATTTGTATTAATATGTATAGGTTATAATGAAAAGAATATAGAAAAGTTAAACAAGAATTATAGGATATTATTCTGAAATTTTGAATATTGATTTGAAATGGAAAAAAAAAATCCTACAACCATACTTTAAATTTATTATTAGATTAATAATTGCTTAAAAATGAATATGTAGGCAAATTTTTTAAAATACTTTAACTTTTCCAATCCATAAATACTTTATCAAAAAACAGGTTTAACCAGTGAAAGGCACAATGATATGTATCCCTTCATTTTTCCTGCCAACATATCAATAAGTAAATGGCCTTAGGATTCTTAATATTAGAAATGTATTGTATAATGTGATCTGAAATGACTCCCATTTTTGTTAAGTTAGATATTTGTGGGTAAAACCCCCGTTTATCTGCCACATATTTAGATCTCTTTAAATATAATGATAGTAAATATCTCTCACGTGACTGATTTTTTAAAATTATATATCAAATTAGTATTTTGTATTATAATGTCTCTCAATGTGTATTATATTACAGCTATAAGAAATATTTGTATTTTACTTTAGGATTGTGTTAACTATTAGCATTACACTTTTTTATAACTTTGAGGTTTTGTTGTTGAAGGCAAACAGGATTTATCTAATAGTGATTTAGAAGGACTCTTGGCTGGTCTATTTCCACTAACTGTATCTATGGAGATGGTGATAATTCCATCTGCACCATTACAAAGTCTAAATACTCACATTCAAAGTTCTAGAATTATGTAACAGATGTCTTTATCTCATTACATGGTTACTAGGGGGTTGTTTCATCTGGTGTATTTTGATACCATGTGTGCCTTAACAAGCAATCTGGCATAAGCCTTCTGTTTATAGCACTAGAAAACAGAGCATTGTTATATGTCATGGCTATTGTTAATTACACTGATGTGCAAGGCATCACTAAAGCTTGAAATGCTCAAGACATGTCAGGAAAATTTGTTTTTACTTAAGTTAAGCTACTTTTAAGGCTCAGATTTAAATAAACAATATATGTGACAACTAAGTATAGTACAATATATCATTGTGTTTACAGCTTTGTTGAGACTAATCTGTTGGCAAGTTCAGGTTGTTGGTCAAATTTCTAGTTAGAAAAAGTTTCCATTATTTCAATTAACTTCCAACAATTTCACTTCACTTTAATCGAACACATAAACATTTAATGTTTACTACATTCACAATTTGAATTAAGTGCAATTTACAGTAAACACAATTTTGGCCACAAAAATCGTTACAATTTGTGTTGCCTAAACATATTAAAAACTAATTATAGTGGAAAGAAGACTATAATAATTCAGAAAATAATTGCTGAATATTTACATTATATGTCTCTACTTAAGCAGTGATAAAATGAAAGGAGATGAAGTTCCTGCTGTGGAATGCTTATTTCATACACACACACACACACACACACACACACACACACACACACACATATATATATATATATATATATATATATATAA